GCTGCACAGTGAACACCCAAGTGTGCTTCATGAGTTCCCTTGGTCTTAATTCTGTGCTAGAATAATCTGTGCTTTTCCTCTGCATTTAGAAGGAGTATCTTCCTTTTACATGTATTCAAAAGGACAGTACATTTTGTCTTCATTGTATCACGTGAAGTCTAAATTGCTTTAGTGTTTATCATCAAGGTCATTGTTTGGGTAGCACAAATTTTAAAGGTCTGAGTAATATAGATTTGAAAATAAATAAGAATGCCAGTTGGAAAACTGTTGCCTTGTTTTGTTGCTTAATAGCATTTTATATTTTTTTTAATGAAAAAATAGGGCTTGCACCCAAGAATAGTTGCAGAAGGATTTGAAGCAGCAAAGGCAAAGGCACTTGAAGTTTTGGAGCAGGTCAAAGTATCCAAGGATATGGACAGAGAGACACTTATAGATGTTGCCAGAACATCTCTGCGTACTAAAGTTCATGCTGAGCTGGCTGATGTCTTAACAGAGGTAAGTGTACACGTTTTTTATCTTTTTCTTTGAATTGTGCTTTCGTTCTCAGATGAGGAACTCCTAATTATCTGACACATTAGATAATGAATTGGGGGAAGAGAGGGAGCATAGAAAAATGGGGGGAAATGCCTATCTATTTGCTTCTGTTTGATAGCTGAGCTTGTTGTATGATGGCGTTCTCTTCTATTTCAGGCTGTAGTAGATTCCATTTTGGCAATCAGAAAACCAGATGAACCTATTGATCTCTACATGGTTGAGATAATGGAGATGAAGCACAAATCAGAAACGGATACAGCGTACGTAGTTATACAAACAATAAAAAAACAAAAACAAACCCTATTGGGGGGGGTAATGGAAAGGCGAACCTCAGTTGCTTTTATATAGTGAAAAGCTTGAGGTCCTGTCAAGGAGTTTGCTTAACAACTTTTTTTTTTTCAACTTGCTGTTGCTTTTTTTCATGCATCTTAAAATGGCCTTTCTTACCTTTTATGTTGGGGGGGAAAAAACTGACCACATGAGAAACTACAAAACAGGAACATTGCAAAGTACATTTGAAAAAAAGCTCTTCCTATAACTTCCTGCAGTTTTACTCATCTTCAGTGGGAGCTCTTAACTAGAGCTTCTTAAGAGGAGACAGAAGTAAGATGAAACTGTTCCTCTCAAGGGTTTAAACTCCCTCCGTTTTTAAACTTGACAGTCTGACACACATGCCTGCAGCTGGTTGGTCATGGCTGTATTAACTTCCAACATAGGACAAGTGCATTGGTGTAATATACACATGCCTTTTTCTCAGACAGTCTGAAAATACTAAGAAGTATAATGCTGTGTCTGAAAGACATTGTTCCTTTGTTCCCATTGTTCCTTTTACACTAATTGAGCTCTAAGCTCTAAATCCATTTCTAGTGGAGAGAAACCTGAAATACAAAGTGAACAGAGTTTTAACCCTTTTATCATTCTTAATGTCAGACGGCTGAATCTCACTGATGTGGAGAGAATTTATAATACTATTATAATTGCCTTTTAACTAGGTAAATTGGGACCACAGTAGTTCAAAAGCCTTCATAAGGACAAGATTAATCAGCAGCATGGAAGAATTCTGCGTTGGCTTTTTCAGTAGCTAATGCAGTCAGACGCTATGCTAGAGTATATTTCCTTATTACAGTCCTAACAGCCTGCTTTACACAGAGTAGGCATGTCCATGGAAGTGGGATACATGATCCAAACTATTTTTATACGTATAGGCATGTAATCAATGTTTAATATGCTTTGCTATGAATTTTGTTCAACTGCCTATCATGAAAACCGAAATAAGGACAAAGAATTTCTTACAGGTCATCTAACTGATTCTTTACAGGCTTATTAAAGGACTTGTTTTGGATCATGGCGCTCGTCATCCAGATATGAAAAAAAGAGTGGAAGATGCTTATATACTTACTTGCAACGTATCTCTAGAATATGAAAAAACGTAAGTGTAAGCCAGAGACTAAAAGAAATCGGAGAATAAGTATTCCAAAATATCTACTTAAGATAAGCTCAGCTGTGTAAAAGAGGAAATACAAGCAAACAGCACAGAATCTTATCCAGATTTATAAAGCTGGTAAGGGGCCAGTAAGCTTCTGGAGTAGGTTATTTGTTTTTCGAGGTGTTTGTCATATCACTGACTGACAACTTTATTTAAAGTCGATAAAGTCTGCGTGTTCGGTATACAGTGATAGTGAGCATCTCCAAGTATGTCAGACATGGGTGTTTTGATATGTGACTACTAAAATACTATTTTACCTCTGTACTGAAAAATGTCATTTTTGTTTTGCGTGTATTCAGAAGTACAACGTATATTTTGTGCTGCTGTACTTTTCAATGTGACTTTGTTAAACTGTACCTTTATTTAAGATACCTTCTGACTAAATTTACATGTTCTTTCCTGTGAGTAAATGATTGTAATGTCTTTTCCCTCAACCTCTAATTTTAGAGAGGTGAGCTCTGGATTCTTTTATAAGAGTGCGGAAGAAAGAGAGAAGCTAGTAAAAGCAGAAAGAAAATTCATTGAAGACAGAGTGAACAAAATTATTGACTTGAAAAAGAGAGTCTGTGGTGATTCAGATAAAGGATTTATCCTAATCAATCAGAAGGTAAGACGAACAAGTATGGGAACTAACTGGAAAAATTACTTCCAACACCTTGGCACTTTTGGCAGGCTCGATTCGATGCCTTGGTGTCCATTAACTGTGTGAATCTCACACAAGCCTTAATAAGGGGTAGAGATATTTTGCTTTCAGATATTCACATAGGTCTTTGCTAAGAGGAAGAATTGGCCCTTTGTGCTGGTCTGTGAATTTGTTTTTACACTTCCTTAATAGGCGCTTTTCTCTTGTTAGGGAATTGACCCATTTTCATTGGATAGCTTGGCAAAAGAAGGAATAGTAGCTTTGCGCAGAGCAAAAAGGAGGAACATGGAGAGGTAAGTTCTTGAAAAGAAGACTTACTTGCTTTTCCAGAGTTTGTCTGACTTGATGTATGCATGTAACCTTTTTCTTTTAAAATAAAGCTTGAGTAAAATCTGTCTCTAGTGGGTTATGGAATAGAGAAGATCCCACACAATTTACTGATTCGTTTTGATGCACTGGCTGGGGGAGTATTTAGTTGATTGCACGATTTCACAATGATTACACACTTAATTCATACAACACAATTTTATTTTAAAATTCTTAGCTACACATATAACACTGCTTAGCTTTAAGAAATAATCCTCCAAATGCACTTCCTTCCCAAACAATGCTATAAGAATTAGTATTACAAAAACAAGTACAATTACAACTAAAAGTTAAATTTGAATCAATACTATTATTTTTCATAATATACTTACAATCCTAGAATTCCGAGAAGCCAAACACCTAAATACGGTTTCATTCCTCAGTAGTACAATTTAATGGGCTCGCCTCAGCAATACGATTCAATGGGCTGGCCTCAATACTGATAGGAACAAGTCCCCTTCCTTCAGTCCCTTTCGGGTGCTCTGCAGCTTCAGCGTGAACTAAGAGATTCGTGTTCACGGAGAGGGTGGTTCAGGTGATCAGTCTGATCCGGTCTACACTTTCGATTCTTCCTTCGTTGTTCTGCAAGTATAGTCACCTCCAATTTGGGAGAGTAGGTTACAGTTTTTATTGAGTGAGTTGCCGTCCTGGGCCCCTCCTACCCAAACCTGTCATTACTCCCAAATTTGGGCTTGGATCTTACTTAACATATTCTTTTGCTTGGCAATTAGTTTCTTTTGTTGATCATTTTAATTACTTTGGGGAACTTCCATACCACTGCAAGTGACCTTTTCTTTCCAATCTTGTCAAAAGGCCCTAGGGTTTGATCTCTCGGAACTCAGGATATTTGCTTAAGGGTCATTTTTAGGTTAACTTTGTTAAAGACCTCTAAAGATAAAATTCAAAAGTTAAGACTTTGAGCAAAGTCAGGACCTTTCGCACGTAGACCAAAACAATGGCCTAGATAAGGAGATAAATCTTGTCTTCTTCCTAAACTGGCTAATGGGCAACTATTACAAACATTCAAACTATTTCATTCAATATGACAAAATCTACCAATACATCTGACTTGTCTAGTTCTTAAGCAGCAATGACTGTCGGTTAATAGAAGCTTACGTATTTTGATGCATTTAAAAAATCCTATTTCATGTAATGGTGATGTTGCCAATAAATTCCAAATTCAGAACAATTAGCCCTCTTCTGCACTATTCTGAAATGATTCACAAAGTACATCCACATACAGTAAAAGCTTTGTTGTCCGTCACCCATGGTGGGGGGGTGCCAGATAACAAAATATACCGGTTAATTGAGAGGCCCGAACAGGTGTCTCTGCCTGTTCGGGCCGCCACTTCTCAATGCGTCCGGGGCATTGCTGACCCTCCTGTGGGCGCTGAGGGACAGGGAGGCGGGCCCCGCGCAGCCTGCTATGCCCCAGACCGTGAGGGCTCGGCAGCACAGGCTGCTTTGCATTGGACTGTGGAGGTCTGGAGAAACCGGAAGTGCCACGGTGGGCACTTCCCGTTTCACTTTACCTTACAAGCCAGCATGCCGGTTAATAGAATGTGCTGGCTTGTAAGGTGCCAATTAACGGTGCTTTTACTGTACTTCACATAGCTTGAAAGAAATTAAACTAAGTGGCTCTGCTTATATTAAATAGCTCATGGTGGATGTGATGTGATATTCTTAACTCTTCAGTTTGGTATGAACAAAGATTCCAACTTCACATTACGTTATTAATTTTATATTTAGTTATGTATATAACACCACTGACTTGTCTTATCTTCTTTCAGACTGACTCTTGCCTGTGGTGGTATGGCCATGAATTCTTTGGAGGACCTCACGCCTGAGTGTCTGGGACATGCTGGGCTTGTCTATGAGTATACACTGGTATGTATGACCTTGAGTTTGAACTTAACAGGTCAAGGTACACTGTTGTCTCCTTTTCAGTGTCTGCATCGTTTGCTTTATTTCAGGTTTTGCTGTTAATGCTTAGCACTCTTAAACACAGGGAGTTCTGTGAAGGCATTTAGACACCCATGATGATCCACTTATGATCTTGAAAGTAATATTGGAAGTCTCATAAAAGTCACTGCCACACACTAATTGCCAGAAAAAATATATGAAGTACACTGTGGGGTGATGATAGAAAAACAAAAACCTGAGGGGGGGGACAAAGAATAAATGTATTCTTCGTTGAAAGTAGAGCTAGGATGACATGAAACCTGCATAATTTATAAGGGTAAAGAGAAAAATCTCTACTATTCCCCTTTTCAGAAGTTAGCGTGAAAGTTAATTATCCCTCTGACTATACATGGATCTAAAAATGTACCTACGTCGCTCATTTATTTTGTTTTTTTACATAGATATGCTGTGATTTATTTATTTATTTTGCTGCTTTATTTGTTCTTGAGCAAAAATCTTACATGAACACACAGTAATATTGTTCTACAGGGTGAAGAGAAATACACCTTCATTGAGAAGTGTGACAATCCTCGTTCTGTTACCCTGTTGATTAGGGGACCCAATAAGCATACACTCACGCAAATCAAGGATGCAGTAAGAGATGGACTACGTGCTGTAAAAAATGCCATTGAAGATGGTAAGTCTAGTCCGTAGTAATTTTTTGGTATAGTAAGATTCAGAGGACCCACTGACATCTGTGAACTGTTCATTTCCTACATATGTACTTTTCTGCCAAGAAGCATGGATGAATTCTGTGTTAGCTTTATCAATAGTTTATACAGTCAGACACCATGCTAAAGTATTTCCACTTTAACTATTTCTAATGTCATGCTGTATGCCAAGCTGACATGTTTTAAAAAGTGGATACACATAGTGGATCAGATTTGATTTCAGTTACACATGGCCTTTCTCCAGGGTCTTGTTAGTATTCTGTTAAATATTAATGAATGTGCTTTTAAAATATTGGAAGACAACAATTTAAGACAAAAGGCTCTAAGTGCAACACAGCAAATTTTAATACTTTAGATCTGGTTAAATACTGCTTCAGTAAGAGCAGAGAGATGAGGAGGAAAAAAGCATGCTTTGCAACTGAAAAACTTGCTTTCAGCTCACTATCTTCCATCAGTTTAGCAGGCCTGCCAGAAAGGATTACTGAAATAGAGTTATTTGGGATGGTGGTAGTAATGGGTTTTTTAAATATCTTGAATCACTATTTACAGCAAGCAGTGTTGCTCAACCTGTCCAGTTACATAGGCTAGATAAATGGCACCGAGTTGGTCTGTAGGCCAGATCCAGCATGTGAGAGTCAGTCCACAGGCGCAATCCGGTGCACAGATGTGACTTCACGTGCAGGATCCTGTTGGGGTGCGACTCCACATGCCAGATGCGGCTGTGGCTTGAACTGGCTTGCAGGGCTGCATCATCTGGATGACGGGGTTCCCCCATGGGGCCAAATACTTATCAGGGGAGCAGCAGCAGTGTTAACTGCTGAAGCTCTTGGAGTGGTTAACCTCACTACTGCTTATACTGCCACCAAATTTCCAGACCTGTGGGGAGCTCCGCAGGCTAGATGAGACAGCTCTGTGGGCTGGAATCTGGCCCGTGGGCCAGAGATTGAGCAGTACTACAGTAAGATATTAAAGGTAGCAAAATTGCTGCTTCTCCATGCAACATCCCTTTTCAGAAGGGAAGGTTTTTTTAATCAAAGTCTCTCCTTTTGACATGCGAGAACTGCAGATTTGTTAACGTAAAAGCTAACAGGTGTACTTTGGATAATTGTTTTCCTGTAAATGTTCTCTATCATCTCATCTGATTCTTCTGCTCTTTCTGCTGAAACTAGTTCAGCTGGACTACAGCAACTACTATCTAAGCTTTAAACAAGGGACGAGGAGACTCTGAGTAAAAGGCTATTCTTGCTGTGTCTGGGCATGAGTTACGGTGAGCATGATAGAAACCTAAATACATCAGTCGGTTTCATTTCTCACCTTTCTCAAAAAGAGGTTTGATTTGTGTTTTGAAGAGCACATGTCGTGGTGGATGCTATTTTAGAGGCAAAAGCCTCTGAGTTTCATGAACGTTCTGTACTGATGTATATCCATTAACGTGAACCACGTGGTCTCACTGCTTTGTTTGACATCGCTGTGTAATGGCTCTGCTTATTATCTTCCTTACATACAGGCTGTGTAGTTCCAGGGGCTGGTGCAGTAGAAGTGGCAATTGCTCAAGCTCTCGTTAAATATAAGCCCACCATAAAAGGAAGAGCCCAGCTTGGAGTCCAAGCTTTTGCTGATGCTCTGCTCATTATTCCTAAGGTATAAAGGAGCTCTTGACTGGAGAAGTAGATTGCAAGCAGTTAGTTTAAGCTAATAGAAAATTACCATTAAGGTGGATTACTGTTGCAACAACTACTTATTTTTACATAATCTATCTCATCCTCTTTTTTAAAAGGTGCTTGCTCAGAATTCTGGCTATGATTCCCAAGAAACTTTAGTGAAAGTTCAGACAGAACATGCAGAATCAGGGCAACTTATTGGAGTTGATCTGAACACTGGTAAGAATCTCCTCTAAAAACCCCATATTGAGACACTTGTGAATAGAATAAATTGGGCTTTGTCTAGTCAACAGTATAGTGGGTTTTTTGAGAGAAGTGAAAACTTATTATTCTTTATGGCAAGTCTGTTGCACGTTAGCTTCCTGAAGATTTTGCAGGGTTGAGAGTGTTGTTTTAAGATTTCCTGGACGTTTTATTTAACAACAGCTTTTCTTGGTGGTAAATAGAGTACTTGTCGCCTGCTAAACAACTCAGGGCTACGTTACAGTTAAGTAATATGAAGCTTGTAATGTGGATATCCACACACGTAAATGTGACTACATGCAAAGACTAGATGGTGGGTTTTTGTATGAAGATGTTTTGCCTTTGGGGGCAGTAGCAGCATGCTTCACAGTTGACAAAAACCTGCTAATCCCTTATCACTTTTTTCGTAACTCTGAACTGTAACATTTCATTCAGGTGTTCTCAGCCTTATCTGTTGCCTTATTTTGTGCTTATTTTTATTTCCAGGTGAACCAATGGTGGCTGCAGTAGCTGGAATTTGGGACAACTATAATGTCAAAAAGCAACTGCTCCATTCATGGTAATTTTTTTTTTAATGGGTTAACTTTTAAATTGTATAAACACTCACTTTGCTATCCAAAATTGATTAAATAATTTGAGATTTGTTTATTAAGTGAAAGGCTTTGGTTTTTATCCTCCATTTTGCAATGTACAAGAAAAGGGAAGTAGTTGTTTTACACTGTCATACTCATCCTAAAGTATGTCTCCTCTCCAGTTGGAAAGAAAGAAAGCTTGATCTTAATTAGCTATTAGTATTTTAGTGTTGTTTAAGTGGCTGAGTCTAGTATAAAACTTTATAATCTGTTGGGGCTTTGGCTGGGGTGCGGACTCCTGAGGAGAGAAGTGGAGATAATGTCCTTGTTTGAATTAATTGTAACATAATACAGCACTTTTAACAGGTTTGGTTTTTTTTTTTTTTTTCATTTGATCTTTCCAGCACGGTGATCGCCAGCAACATTCTTTTGGTTGATGAAATTATGCGAGCTGGAATGTCGTCTCTCAAAGGTTGAATTGAATCTCTTCTCATCCTGCGATAGTCGTCATGAGTAGGGAATTGCCTTTTTGAAATAACTTAAAAAAAAAAAATCCAACTAAAGGCATTTTTGTCCCCAGCCTCCAGTGGATTTTCACAGTAACAGAAGTAGCTGTCCTTTTTGATGCAGTAAACATGGCCACTCGCAAAGAATAGTACCTGTTCAAATATTTGGTTCTAAAATCAATTAGTTATTTATTTTTAATTGCACTGAAATGTACAATTAAAGTTACAGCCTTTCTACCCAATAAACATTTCTGTTCTGTGCTTTGTTTGTAGCAGTGTCACTTATTTAACTTGCATTTTAGTTGAAATAATGTTACTGGATGAAGATGATGGTACAGCAATATAGTTTTCCATGTGATGTCAGTGCTTCCAGAACGTGTCATCTGTGCATCACTCTTCTGAATACTGCTGAACTACCCGTGGTGTAACTTGCTTATGTTTCTACATATGGAATTACATGCAGCTCCCTGTAATCCCCAAAATTTCCCCTGGGATGGGGGAGCCTAATTTTAGAATTTATAGAAGATCCTTTCCAAGTGGGTGGAGTGTTGGACTGGGGCGGGGGAAAGAGGTCAAACCTGGATTCTGTTTCTAGGCATGGTATTGAACTAGGTAGTTGTTTCCTGTCCCTGCATCAGTTTCCTATCTTTCAGAATGGGGGTGGTAACATTTTACAATGGCTTAGACCTGTGTCGAAAGATGATTATTCATAGGCAATATCCTAACAACAAATGCATATTTATATTTTGAAGTACACTCTAATAATATGCATTTTAGCCTAAAGATTTTTCTGGGTTGCTTTTAACATGAATTCACTAATGCAGCTTAGGTTTAGGTTGTAGCTGTGTTGGTCTAAGGACATAGGCAGACAAGGTTTCTTGGGTGAATTTGATATCTTTTATTAGACCAACCCAAATAGTTGGAGAAAAGTTATTAAGCAAACTTTTGCGTTCAAAAGCCCTTCGTCAGGCTAAGGAAGTTTCAGCAGTTGGTGTGTGCTCTTGGATGGAAGAGCACACACCAACTGCTGAAACTTCCTTAGCCTGACGAACCCAAAAGCTTGCTCTCCAACTATTTGGGTTGGTCTAATAAAAGGGATCAAATTCACCCAAGGAACTTTGTCTGCCTAACGCAGCATAGGCTGCTATGGCACCAGTTTAAAGACCTGGGGGACAGAAGTTGTTGAAAACAGACCCTGCTACAATGCTATCAAAATAACAGCAAGTATTCAAACAGCTTGGTTTTGTTTTAGTTTTCCAATACCACAACCTAATATTATGGGCCCTGAGGCCTGTATGTTCCTTGCTTAGCCCAGCAAAGCTAGCTCTAGTTTTGCATAGCTTTTGTAGAGACTTAGAAGATGTTAGTTCTTCACAATTTTAGTGGTATTTGCTAGTCATTTAAATCTTTGGACTGTTCCAATGTTGCTTTTCAATATGGATATGAGTCTGATCACATCTGCTGCTGCTTTCCAAAATGTGAATGGGTGAACAAAAAAGCAAAACTGTTTCCTTACATCAACCTACTAGAGAAATTGTCCATATGAAGCTTCTTCATTTAAGGAGGCAAAGGGGAAGGAGTCCAGCACTTGTAACCCCAGGATTATGTATTTTGAAGTTTTCTTTTGAAAGAAAGAAAATACTGTCATCCCCCTGCCAAAGATTAAAAACAGCCATGAAAGCAAATGGGACAGCTAACTGTACACATACAGTACACCAGCAGAGGCCAATAACCCTTTTGGCAGGGGTGCCGCAAATTGGCTTTGTGCCCTTCTGAGGTGCTGTCCTGATTCTCCTCCCTCTGCCCAGTCTGCTCTGCTGTCTACTCCCTGCCCTGTTTGCTACTGTACAGTTTGTTTTTGCAGTGGGACTCGACTAGTGTTGATATAAATAGTTCTCAGGAACAACTTGACTTTTAGAAATGTCTCCTGTAAAACGACTTGTTTATGCACGAATGTGTGGACTGTACAAAGCCATCCTCACTCCCACACTGGCTGAGACCAGTGATTTTTTTTCACTTCTCTCCTTCCTGCACATGCTCACTGCTGCCTCCTTCCCCTGCACAGCCCAGACAGGAGGAGGCGGGGACTTGTGCTGCAGTCTCCTCCAGAGTGAGATCCGGAAACACTTCCCCCTGTGCTGAGCCCTTCTGGGTTGCAGTTCCTCATCTCTTTCCCAATTCACCTCCCTTTCCCAAGTGCCTGGCTCCGATGCTGTCCTTCCCCCTTCCCAGGAGCGTGCAGCTGGCTCTCTCACTTTGCTGCTATCTGCTAGCGAGCAGCCATGCTCTGCAAGGTAAGTTAAGGCACCCATGCATACGTCTTTCTGCACCCCTTCCTTCCCACCCCCTCCAATCCACTGCTCTTTGCCTTCTACCTCCCTGTAAGGAAGCCTTATAAGCAGCTTTCCCCCACTCCCTGCTTTCCTTTGCTGCTCAAAGCTGTTACACTGTGCTCAGCTCAAGGAAGCACTTCCTGAATTGCACCAAGCCTCAAATCATTCCTTTAACCACAGGAAAGCTTGAGGGGTTGACTCGAGATGAAACCTCACCACCAGGCAGCTCTGAAAATAATGGTGAACGTTACATACGTCAGAAAGAGTAAAGCTCAAAGGACTGCTTATTCCAATGGAGCAGGTACAGAGAGACCTGCACCCCCACCTTGCACTGTAAAAGTAGGGTGTGGGTTTCACCCTTTTTACTGTCTCTATAGTACGAGTTGGATCCAAAACCTGAGTCTGTTTAGGGGTCTTATGCCTGGTCAGTCAGACCAGTGTTTCTCAACCTTTTAAGTAGCAAGTGCCCCCTAACTTCTGGAAATTTTAATAAGTACCCCAACAGTCAATTTTCCAGAGGATTTTATATTTACAGACTAATGTGTGCCATATGTTGGAAGAAGGGCTGTGTATATAAGGGCATGATATGACCGATGTCTGATCTGCTGTGGGTAGGGTTGCCACCTTTTACACCAGGGGTGCACAACTCAAGTATGTACTTGGGCTAGAGGTGATGAAGGCCAAAGCTAGGAGGGCTGAACCCAGTGCTTTTTATTACGGGGAATTTAAAGCACTGCGCAATGTGGCGCACCAGATTTTTTGCCATGGTTTTGAGAGGAAAAGAGGGCGAGAGAGAGGAAAAGAAGGTGAGAGAGAGTGTTGGGGTACCTGTGTACCCCCTGCCTGTGTCTCGTGTACCCCCAGGGGTACGCGTACCACAGGTTGAGAAACTGAGTCAGACTAAAACCCAATTTCCCTGTGATGATACAGAAGCTCAAGGAATTCCCCTTCTCTTCTCTCTCTCTCTAGCTGGTAGTCTCAGCCCCTGTGTATTTATTTTTCTCTGTTTCTGCATCAGGTTTTGTTTGTATTTCTATTACAACAGTATTTATGCTGACTAGTCTATGTGGAGGTGGGGAGTGGTGTCAGAAGGTGGGGAGCCGCTCCGTTTCTGTGTTAAATCCTGGGTCACTTCATGCAACTAAAGGTGGCAGAGCTGGATCACTTGCAAAGGAGGTTCTCTTAGTGGCTAGATACCCTGTACCCTGCATATAAAACCTGCAGAGAAAGATCCAAGTGAATTTCACTGACATCCCAAAGCAATATCCTGCAATGCCCCCCCGGTGTATAAACTGACATCAAACAGCAGTGACTGATCTAAACCGGCAGCATTGGCCCGGTGTACTATACGAGTCATCTGAAATATGAAGTCTACATTTATCTCTGGGATATATCCATGGGTTTCAGTAGAGTCACACCCAGGATGTTTGGTCTACTCTCTGTGAAGTGCTATCAAAGAACACAAGGCAGTATAAATGCCAGGGATAATGATTAGCCACTTGTCAACCTCCTTCCTTGGGGACGAATGGGTCACTAACAAGGTGCATACAGATGCTGGTGTCTCAAAATGTCAAGATGCTGGTGTCTCCAATTAATCTTCTCCTTATCTTGGATTATGTCGCACAGCTTCTGAAAAGGATGGGAGCATGGTTCAGTTGCCTGGTGGGAAGTTCCAGATGGGGACAAATTCACCCGATGGTCGAAATGAAGAAGGGCCTGTCAGGGAGGTGACAGTGAAGGCATTTGCTATTGACAAATATCCCATCACGAATAGGAATTTCAGGTAAGGGCAATATTTTGCATTTGCTTTGTTCATTGGGACTGGATGGAGTTACTAATGGAATCTGGAGACTTTCACGTATCAGGGCAAACTGGTAGTGGCTAAAATTGGTACTTGAATTATTTCAGTTAATTTTCTAGTGGAAAGGTCAAAAATCATATTTTTGGCAGCCTCAGCAGAGAGACTAGTGCATGATCAGAGAAATTGAACTAATCCATCACCTTTACAGGGGATCCTTCCAGATCAGGGCTGAGCAGTAGGTATTCTTGTTTTCTCCCAAGGCTGTACCTACTTTGGGGGATTCAAGAAAAAATTTAATTTGCAAGTCTGACAGTCTCACAGTATTGATTTTTGCTAGAAATTCACAGTTGTTTTTCTTCTGGAATATTAGGAAATTCAATTTTAGATCTACTGTATTGCTATGGGGAGATTGTATAATACAAAGTGTGTCATATTTCCTCCAGGGAATTTGTCAGAGAAAAGAAATACAAGACAGAAGCAGAAACATTTGGCTGGAGCTTTGTCTTTGAGGATTTTGTATCTGAAGAGCTGAAAAAGAAAGTGACCCAGAAACTGGAGGTAATATTCATGTGGATCTTGAGGGGTGTTATGAAGTGACATCGACAATACAAAGTGGGATCTATTTGAAACAGTCAAAAAAGCTGATTGTGGAGCTTGTCTTCTGAGTTCAGGGCAATGTGAGGATAGTGGAATAAATAGAAACAGATCTGCTCTTGAAAGCTCTGCAGTTAAATGTTGTGGCCCCATGTGGCAAAAGGAGTTAATGTCTCAGCTTGTCTAGTGCAGAGGAAAAGGCACAAGTCTTTGGAAAGTGTAGGGATTAGAAATGGACTGGAGACTCATTGGGGAGTTTTCCTGTCTTATTTCTTATCATATTATATCATTTCACTTTGTTGCTATACACTCAAAAACTTCAGGGGAAGACCTTGATAGACATTTTTACTTCTGGATAATACCACCAGCTTCTGTACCCATTGGAGTCAATGGGTGTTTTGCTGTCTGTGGGTGTCTACATGAGACACTTTACTATGCAGCAGACTAATTTGCTGCATAGTAAAGCATCACTGTCTACACATGTGTGGCAATTAGGGTGCAGTAGACTAATTTACTGCACTGGTGAATAGTCCTATCAGATACAAGTGGTACCCAGCAGTGCAGTAAATTACTGCACTTAAATACACATGTAGATGGTGATGTTGGGATTGGTTTCCTCCGGCTCAAATTGAACTGGAGTATATTCAGTCGCATTAATTGCATGTGTAGATGCACTCAGTTTCAATGAGAGAAGGACTGGATTGGCTCTTACATAGTTTAAGACCCCAGTCTGTTGACTTCCGCTTTGAACAATTTGTCGGGAGGAGGTCAGGTATGACCTCTTGATGGGCAGGAAGAAAACACATTTGTTTTGCAGTATTTATTCATCAGAGTTTGAAGCAGAAAGCCTGAAAGTTATTATGGATTTACAGAAATCCCAAGTTTTATTTTTCAAGTCAGATGTCTCTATACTGTACTGATAACCACTGTACACATGTCTGTGAAACGAGCCAGTTGATCAGATTGAGCTGCAAAATCTGTTTCCAGACTCAGAAATACTGTTGTTACTTGCTCTACATGCTGCCAAACGTGTGCGGCATGTGTTGTGCCGTCCGTTAGAGGGATCTTTAGTTAGTGGGATTGTCTTTAATATGGTTCTGTTTCTTTTCTCAGTCTGCCCCCTGGTGGTTGCCAATTGACAAGGCGTACTGGCGACAGGTGAGTGAGTGTTTCTTTTAATTGCAAAAGAGGCAGGCTGGGCATTTTCACAGGAAGTCGGGTGCTTAAATCATCTATTGCAGTTCAATAGGATGTGGGGGCCTCATTCCCAAAGGCTCCTCTGAAAATCTGAGCCACAGTAATTGCAAAAGCAGAAGATAACCCGAAGGGCTGATGACCTGGCAGACTAGGGCACGTGGCACCCTTCCGAGCTGTTCGTCTTCATTTTGCCTATCTGTAATACAGTTAGGGGCTCTGTGATGGGAGCAGCCCTGCCTGTTTGGGAGTGATCACAGGTGATCTGGAGACTATAGTCTTGGGTGTGAATCCCATTAATACCCATAGCCTTTCTAACTGAAATGGTCCCTGCATGACAAAAGTTAAGGTTTTGTCCCTCTCCCTACCCCAGCTGGGTGCATGATGAACTTCTGCCAAGTAATCAAAGACAAGGTTCCCTGCATCATGTACAAGAAGGGTGCATTACCAAGTCGTTTAGCAGTCCAGAGTATGGACATGTAGCTTCATGTGATGGAGGATGGATCAGTGGTGATGGCATTAACCTAGGACACCGTTCAATCTGTTATTCTGTCACAGATTATTAGTGTAATATTTATCATCATTGCCATTTCTCCCCTTTGATAAAGTAGTGTTTAAAAGGGTGCACCCAAATTTGTCTTCCCATATGCATTTTAGCAGACTAATTATTGAAACACACAAGCCTTCCACGCAGAAATAGTACAGTGCCTTCCTGAGAGGCAGAAGCAAGTGGGTGGGGATGATCCTGGTGGCATAGTGCAGCTGATGGATCTCATCTTAAACTGACCATTTCTATTCAGCCATCAGGTCCAGGATCCAGTATAAAAGACAGGCTGGATTACCCTGCGTTACATGTCAGCTGGAACGATGCCCAGGCATTTTGCAAGTGGAAAGGGAAGAGACTTCCTACAGAGGAGGAGTGGGAATTTGCTGCAAGGGGAGGACTAGAGAGTATGTAAGAGAAACTCTTTGATCTCTTTCTAAAACCAAACTGATCCTTCAAGAAGTGTCATTCCTACTGCTTTCTCAATCAGGCCCACATTTCTTCCTCACTTTGCTGCAGTCTGGCCTCACTCCAGGGAGAACTGCATTTTGGTGGAGGATGACGTGATCTGTGTGATTGTTCATATTATAGTAAAGAATAAGGGGATGCCTTGGGATGAAAATAAGCTGTGATGAAGAACCATTGTGTCCTTTGTTTTGTACATTCTTCAACATTTTTTTTCAAAGTTAAAATATTCATTTTTTAATTAATGGTTTCTTAATCAGGGATATGGGCAAAAGGGTAAAGCCAACAATTCTTGCCAGTGTCCCAAGCAGGAAAGGACAATCAAGGAAAATTGTTAAAAAGAGGTAAATGAAGAAAACGGACTAAGCTTTAGGAACTAATTGGTCTTTTTTCCCTGTTGGACAGGTAGAATATATCCTTGGGGAAACAAGTTTCAAGCAAATCGCACGAATCTGTGGCAGGTAGGGTCCAAAAACCACCCTGTCTATTGTGAGTTGTGCTGATGGTCTGTTGATTTAGAAAAATGTCCTTAAGTGACCCTAGAAGGTATTTAGGCAGTAAGTGATACAGACTTTTCTTTAGGATATTGAAAATCAGCTAACGGTTGTTGTCAAACTTGTCATAATTTTATTAACTTCCTCCATGACTAGAAAATAGGTAATCACCCCACCCACAAATGGGGGAATTCAGATACCTCAACATTTCAAACTGTTCAGATCAAGAATTTTGTTGAGAAGGGGAGGGAGGGAAATCATGGATGCTGACAGAAGGGACATTTGTCATGCAACTGGCCCCCTGAAACCACGCTACAGCCATGCCCTGACAGAAGTGCACGGCTGCAGAACATTTTAGAAGTGGCCGACTGCATGACAAATTAACCCTCGTAATGAGGGATCAGATAAAGGTGCTTCAAACCGGAGTGCCTTCATCTAACTTCTGTCAGTCCCTGCGTGTGACCAGGACTGGGCTGATGTGTCTAGCCCTGCCCCTGGTGCTATCTGCAGGAAGGGAGGGGGAGCACTCTGTGGGCTGGGGTTTACCCAGCCTTAGCTGGGGGGAGGGAGGGGGAGTAGACTGAAGCCCCCTGGCACCTTGCAGGCCCTTCCAGCTCAGGCTGGGCAAACCCCAGCCTGCAATGCACTCCCCTCCCTCATCCCCACTCCCTTCCTGCAGACAGCACAGGCATTGGGGGGCTGGGGGAGAGGTCTAGGGGAGAGAGGCTCCTCCCCTGGATCAGCTTCAAAGTGGAGCTCGATTTCCCCCCTCCCAAATGGCACTTTCTGTGAAATGCCATGAGTTATTTGTCAGTATCCCATGTCTCCCTCTTGGATTGATTGATCTACTGCTTTATCCCATGAAAGTATCTTCGTCTGTGATTGACATCTGTAAAGCGATTTCCATTGTTTTAAGTTACATGAGGTTCTATTGGAGGTCATTTTCTTTTGCTTCTTTCTGTGTTGCTGGTTATTCATTCTTCAGAGTGAAACCTTCTCTTCACACAGGGAAATTTCCCAAAGGTTGATATGGCAGAAGATGGTTACCATGGTGTTTCCCCAGTGAAAGCATTCCCTCCTCAGAACAGTTACGGTACAGAACCTACACCTTTGTCTTCCTTGAAAGTTCATCCACTTGTTAATTTCCATTTAGAAATAATAAAATGAGATATTGTGATGGAAGCTGGACTAATCCATTTCTTGGCATCCTGATACGATGATGCTGACCATGTCAGAAAACTGTCGTGGTTTTTAATGTTGTTTAAATTGGCTGCTGTAGGCCTGATATTTTAATGCAAGAAGCCAGCATTCCCTGCAGTGATTAATTTATAAAAACAATGCGTTACTTTGTTTTTTTATAACGGGTCTCAAAGCACCTTGTTAATATTAACTAATTGAAGCTCACAGCATCCTTTTGAGGATAAGCAAGCAGTATTGCTGCATTACACAGATGGGAGACCTGAGACACAGTGCAGATAAGAGACTTGCCCAAGAATGAATGAGAAAGCAGGAAATGAAACCAAGAGTTTCTGACTTCTAGTCTCCTACTATAGCTATTACACCATCCTTACGATGGTAGCTTGAACATCATAACTCTGAGTGCACCAAAGTGCTTTCAGGAGGTCCATATATTAAAAGCACAGCTGTTCTATGGATATTCATGACCAATGTTTTTATCTCAGGGCTCTATGACCTGTTAGGGAACACTTGGGAATGGACTGCCTCAGAGTATTTACCTCCTGCAGCTTCATCAAGACAACGTGCTCAGAAAATGCATGTCCTGCGGGGCGCATCTTGGATTGACACAATAGATGGATCAGCCAATCATAAAGCTCGTGTTACCACAAGGTAAATGAATTTACTGCAGTGCCCCAGTATTGTTTTGTGCTACTATTAGGGTTTCACGATAATTCACATTTATTTCCGTTTAGTAAATTATTTCTGAGTTACTTTCTTTTTATTATCTAGCAGTAATAATTTAATTTCTTCTAGTACCAAGAACACTCTATTAATATCTTGTATTTATCGGAAAATGCTTTTCCAAGCCAAGCCATCTCTGGAGTGAAGTGCAGCCAGCTGGTGAAAAGCACCCTGCACAATAGGTTGGGAGGGAATATAAATGAACTCCTGCTGAGAGTGATAATAATGGAAATTAGGACTAATATGCAGTATAATTAATGGCAGGGATTTCATCTGTTTTAACTGTACAGACAGTCTCTGACAAAAGAAGTGAGATTATGTAGAATTTCTACATTATTCATGAGTAAATGATTAATTGCAGATATTACTGACATCCTTTTGCTTTTCTTCTCAGTGCTAATTATTGTTGGCCTAAAGGAAATATTTTTTAAAGCTCTGAAGAGAAACTGCATCACTGCTGAGATCCCTCGAGGCAGTTCTGAACATTACAGGGCAGATTTTCTAAATACCCCATTCCTATTTAGACACCTAGTTTAAGCATAATTAAAAAAAATCTCAATATATTAGATATTTAGTTCTTTAGAAGATGTAGCCACCTACTTGGGAACCTAACTGGAAACTGAGCTCTTTGAAAACATGCCTGTAGCTATCACTTTTAAAGTACCTGAACACCAGAAGCCCTTCCACCACAGATTGTGTTTCAGTTACACACAAGGTAACTGGGATTCATGCAGAAGTGACTAGGTGGCATTGCATGATTTGTGCTCTACAGGATGTCAGGCAAGGTATTGTAATGGTCAGTTCTGGCATAGTAAATTGATTCACTTTGACTTTTGTTTTTTTTTGCCTAGAATGGGAAACACACCAGATTCAGCCTCTGATAACTTGGGTTTTCGCTGCGTTGCTGATATCAACAATCTCACAACTATGAAAACCGGGAGGAAAACAGAGCTGTGAATAAGTCCCTTAGTGAAAATAACCTCAGACATTTTCTCCTGTGGAGATGAACTGTAATTCCCTGTGGCTGGGTTTGATCCAAATTTAGCAAGTTTTAAAAATTTGCAACTAAATCTTCATTTCTGCAAAGGCAGGTTTCAGGCATTGTCTTTTTTTGGTCTAATTAATTCCTTAATTCCCTGTTGGCTTTTTTAAATGCTGCTGCTCTACTTTCAGCTAACCTCATCAGCAGCCCCAGTGGACTCAGTTCTGCAAGCACTTCATGGAAACAGTTCCACGGAAATCCAGAGAAATACTCATGAGCAACCTCTTGCCATCTCAAGGGTATTTAAGTGCCAAACACGCAATGATTTAAATTAAAACATGATTGAAATCAATCTCTGCCTCAGTTTTCCCACCTGAAAATCAGGCATCGTAAAACTTACCTACCTCACAAGACTGTTGGGAGAATGGATTATTTCAAGGTTCCATGGGTAGAGCTAGGATTTTGAAAAGGGGTTGTGCAGATGGTATGGCACATTGTCACATATGACACAATACATACTTTTCTCCAGTTAAAGAGAAACCAGATGCATTACTAATATGCTGTGGGCGAGGGTCATGCTATACAAAAACAGTTATTGGAATGGGCACTAATTTGCTAGATTATGTATAAAGTTTAAAAAACCACAACTGACTAGGCAAAAAATAGTTAAAATGGTCAAAAGACACTGCTTCATTAGTCCTGTAGTCATTATAGTTAAACATATGTCTCTTATTCAGATCCATAAAACAAAATCTAGCCTTCTTGACTGCCTTGACAGTGCCTCCAAAACTTCACACACAGTTGTTTCTGCATCTGAATTAATATAATCGCACTTAAGGCTTTTAGATAGAACTAAAAACAGTCTGCAAAGCTGTGAAATAGGAACTAACAGACAGGAAAATTGCAGAAGAAAGGATAGTTTCAATAGTGGAACATCAAGGCCATTCAAAAGGAGAGAGGGCATGTGGAGTGGAGAGAAATTAGTGGGAATCAGGGAGATGATAATGAGCCATGAAGTCAACTGAATCAGTATTGTCTGATAAATGTGGTTGCCCCTCCCAGGCAATTGGTTTTAAAATTTGTGTGGAGCAGGAA